GCTTACTATGGAGGATAGTAGTCAGTTATGGCGAATTTTTCCGTGGTCACCTGTAATAGGGTAATAGGATCCTATATGAGCTATGCGTAGCGTTGGCCAAACTTTATGGCTGGTAAATACCACCCTGGTATTTACCGGGTTTTTACCACTGCCATAAATGCCCAAAACTGGTATAAACTCAAAACGGCGTTATTCGGACGTTGTACCACTATAGCGCTAAATCTTTACCTCGAGAAGGCCAATTCTCGGCTGCCAGAGGAGCGCAAGATGCACTCCTCCTCTCGTGTGTATTGGCATTTGCAGTTTAGCCAGAGCGAGCATGATGAACTTGGAGCGAAAACTGGAGTCTCCTTCGCTCTCACTGGCTTGGGAATTCATTCATTCACGGAAACAGCACCAACTTCGCTGTCCTCGAGTCGCTCTCTCAGGCAGCGCACTCTTGAAAGTCCGGGCTCTGCAGGACAGCACGTGGTCCGCGGAGTAGTGCCAGAGCAACACGCAGCCCTCATTGTGTGGGCTACCCACAACTTGCTGGCCTTGAGCAGGTACCTGGTCGCTGATCGACCACATTGGAACAATGGCCTAAAATGTTGGATGCGGCTCCGTAATCTGTACAGGCAGGGTTTTTACCACTTTTGCCATAAACTGGTAAATACCAGTGGTATAAACTGCCCAAAACGGTATTTACCATTTGTGGCTGGTAAATACCGGCCATATTACCAATGCTAGCTATGCGATTAAAATAGGATCCCCGGTAGACTGAAACAAAATTTCAGAGAACAGAGCTTCGATATTAATATTCTTCACAAGTCATGCGAAAGTAATAGTCTTATGGAGTTCCAAAGGATTGCCGGATGCTCTGTATGTTAACTGCTACGAGTATCAATTTTACAATCGATACTCCAAGACATTTCACAGTTTCATACCGGAATGGACAGTGGGTTTGCTCGAGTTCCAGAAGAAGCCAAGTTCTCAAAATATAAAAAACTACTTCGAACACCATCATGGCGTTGAGATTAGACGGTCTGGTTGCTACTCTATGCAGATAAATACATTTTTAATCACCCTTCAGAGTTATTCAAACGCTTCGGGAGACCCAAAATGCACGTATAAATGGTTGAAGTTGTACCATAACCTTTGTGTGAAGTAGCACAGGGAACACAGAGAAAAGAGAAGTGTATTCATGTTTTCTCCTTTAGGATTAACACTAAAAGTCTGAATTGCTTTTTTATCACGAAACCAACAAAACAATGCCCATGGTTAGCGAGCTGCGTCGACCAACCAGTTCAGTAAATCACGAAGTATCAGCATCAATACCTATAGAGGACAGTGCGTAAATCCACTCGACCAGTTCTAGACAATGGCCCTCGATAGCTTTTTCATACGTACTATTCAAATCCCATTCAATCGTGCAAACCTCCATCATGAAAGCCTTCGACAGCGCGTGTCAAAGCGTCCTGTTTATCGCTGGCAGCATAAAACTCGATATATCCCCATTCAGTTGCATTATCCACAGCAAACTTTACCAC